CCTTTCCCCCAGTCCTTAACATAAACTAGTTCACAGATGAGGGAGACGCGCAAGAAAGAAGGCCCAAACAATCATTTCGACAACTGGACAAAATAATAGATTGTCAAGGTCGCCAAGCCTCAGAGGCTCTGCCGACTGATCAGAGATGGTGAGGAATACCAAGCATTCTTGCTGAAGGTCACAGAGCACCTTTGAGATTCCAAGATAAACAGCTAAGAACAAAGCTCACGTTAACTCCGGCACACGCTGCATAGGACACGTGACTGGGCAGCATCCCCAGGGAGCCCGGGCTTCGCGGTGCAGAAGGGACAGCCTAGGCCTGTGCGGTACCAGATCTTCACAGGAGCTAGGACCTGGCAGGGCTCCAGGCTCTGGGTGGCCCAACACCCACACCCGTGCTCCACTCCCTGAGCCCTGGGTCAGCTCCTCACGGCCCGCAGCAGATGGGCCGCTCAGACTGCTCTGCTCTGCGGATTTTTCTCCCGTCTGAAGCGAGTACAACATGTTTCCAAATCTCAACCAGATTTTGAGAACATAGAAACAGCCAGAGGATTTCTTTGGTGTTATGATTGTACAGTTTCCCAGACTCGGGGGAAAGATGTGATTCCTGCTTTTCTGGCAATCGCATGGCCTATTAATTTTTTCGTAGACTTTCTAGTCTGAATTTAGGGTGGACACAGAAAGAGCATGCAGAACGGATTCATTTACGTGCTCTGTGTTATAAGGTCTAGAGCTTTCTCTCAGCAAGTCTTCCCCGGTCTGTGGGGGAAGTTAGCAGCAGCGGGGGCAACTGCGGGGCCCCGCAGGCCAGCGGCCTGGGGTGGGAAGACTCTCGTGGGCCCCGCCCTGACAAGAAGTGCGATCTTGGGCATGGTTCACTGGGTCTTAGTTTCCTCTTCAGACGAATAATAGCTTCAGGAGGAACCACTTGCCTGCCTTCTCCAGTCCTAAATTTTTATCAGTTGTTTTTGTTTAGTTGCTAATTGTGTCTAACTGTTTATGACCCCATGGACAGCGCACAACAGGCTTCTCTGTCCTTCCCCATCTCCCCAAGTTGGCTCAAACTCACGTCCACTGTCAGTGATGCCACTATCTCATTCTTTGTCACCCCCTTCTCCTCCTGCCCTCAGTCTTTCCCAGCATCGGGGTCTTTTCCAGTGAGTCAGCTCTACGCATCAGGTGGCCAAACTATTGGAACTTCAGCATCAGTCCTTGCAATGAATATGCAGGGTTGATTTCCTTTAGGATTGACTGGTTGATCTCCTTGCAGTCCAAGGGACTCTCAAGAGTCTTCTTCAGCACCACAATTTGAAAGCATCAGTAGCTTTTTATCAGTAGCCCTCCGAAAGATGAAGAGCTGTCTGAATGTCCATAGTATTAAATATCTACTCTGCCCTTTAACATTGTGATGCTGTGTTTACAACCAGAGGAGAAGGGCCACCTGCCCATGAAGGTGGAGTACCGCCCGCTCAGGATGCTTGTTCTAAAAGAAGTAGCAGAACTGCAGTCTCTCTTGTTCGTGAAAGTGACAGGGCCTCTGACTTGTGTGATTTCAGTGTAGTTCAGCTGTGATGTTTCTGAGGTATGTCTGTGCCTAGAGGGGTGTCAGGCAGCGTGGGAACACCACAAGGGAACAGGTGTTGGGGAGGGGAGACACTCGACAAGCTCCCACTCCCTGCAGCTCACACAGCAGACCCGCCGGGATGGGTCCAAGAATCAGCATTTCTGGCAATTCTGCCAGCAGCCCTGAGCCCGCTGCCCTGAGTGAACAACTGCAAGAAGCAGGAACGTTTAGCTTGGGTGGGAGTCAGGGAGGCCCCCGGAGGAGCGGCATCCCGGACCAAGCCCCTGCGGGGGCGGGTATGGGAGAGCAGTGAGCAGGTGGAGCAGCGGGGCCGTGGGAGGAGAGGCGCAGCGCAGCGACGGGGCCTCCCTGGGACAGTGAGGCCCGGGAGGGGTTACGGCAGACGCTGGTGGTTAGGACACTGAGCACGCTTGTGTTTCGGGCTCTGCGTTCGCCGCAGTCTCTCCACCCACCTGCCGTCCCCGCTGTCCGCTCCCGAGGCACAGCCCCCGGCAGCCCCTCAGGTGCATTCACCTTCCAGGCTGCATGGCTTCTGCACAGGGAGCCCACCCCGATCACATCAGTGGGCAGAGCAGGAAAGGCACTTCTGAACTTTCTCTTGGAGGCGAGGTGGTCCCTTTTGTCTGTATAAAATATCAGCATCCTTGTATTCTAAAGGGAAAGAGATTGAGTTTATTGGTAGAAATTTAGGGTTCCCTGATTAGACAAAAACAAGCCCCAGCTATGTGCTTGGTTTAAATGAAGTCAGCTTCTTCCAGCCAAGGATAGCAGAAGAGTTAAAATGAAATCCGTAGTCGTGGGTCTGTGTCAGGCCCCTGCCCTGGCTGCCCCTGAGTCAGCAGGGGTAGGGTTGGGGGAAGTGGTTTTCCTTTCCCAAAACTGCGGCCGGCAACACAGACCACCTCTTAAGAGATGCATCCTGGGCCGCCCACAGAGTTTGCAATCACTGCAGGTGTAATGTCCTCTCTCCGCTTCAGAGCCAGCACATGTTCACAGAAAGGCCTTCTTTCTCCGCTGTGTGTGGTGGAGTTGCCTGTGGTCCCAGCAGTGTTGGGGGCAGGGTGGTGGATGGGGGGGCTCCTCCTCTCTGCCCGCCACAGAGGAGGAGACGTGAGGACTGCCCTCCCAGAGTTCTCACCATCACCTCGGTGCCCATGGTGAGGCTTCCGGAGTCAGTGGCCAGGTCATGATCAGGATGTGGGTTGCCACCCACCCCGACAGCATTTTAAACTGAGGCATCTTTGGCTCTGAGGCAGAGGTCCTCATAGTGACTCAGCATCACCCAAACCTGGGGTCATCAGGTCTTGTTTTCACCCAGCACTTTGCCAGTGGCGAGCACTGCCAGGGTCTCTCCAAATGCCACCTGTAGTCAGAGGGTGCCGCCGCCCACCAGATGTCTGGGCACTGCCTGGCCTCACATGCCAGAGACCCTATGTGAACATCCACTGCTCTAGGTGTTTCATGTACCCATTTCCACACTTAAACTCAAGTTGGGTTTTTAGTCTAGAAAGGGTCTGCCTGCTTGTTCCCGTAGTCGTGGTGGGGAGCCGCGCTGACGTGCCTTCTCCTCCTCTCCCGCAGGAGGCCTATGTGATGGCCAGTGTGGACAACCCACATGTGTGCCGCCTCCTGGGCATCTGCCTGACCTCCACAGTGCAGCTCATCACACAGCTCATGCCCTTTGGCTGCCTGCTGGACTACGTCCGCGAGCACAAGGACAACATCGGCTCCCAGTACCTGCTCAACTGGTGTGTGCAGATCGCAAAGGTAACTCGCGGGCAGCCAGCGCTGAGAGCGGCAGGCAGGGCCAGAAAGCAGGGCTGGCAGCTGCCTCTGCGTGTTTCTGGGCTGATGTGATCATTAGGGAGAGCCCCAGAGAGCAGCGGCAAGGGGCAAAAAAAACAACCCGGGAGTCAACAGTTACATTCTCCGTCGTAGGAAAGCAGAGAGTTTGTCAGGAGGGGTGTGTGTGTGCACGTGCGCGTGCGTGCATGGACACAACATAGCCTTTATTTTGGATTAAATTGAATTGATTGTCTTTGGCATCAGATTGGTGCCTCTCCCACTCTACAATGAAAATCTAATTATTCGGCTACATTTGCACAGTTGGGTGCTCTCCGAATGGTTGGTGTTGGTGTCTTATTTCCCTGGCATTCTCTTTGTTGAATACTGTGATAATCTGTAGCAGAGGATGAGGTATGGCTTTCATGCAGGCAGAACTGGTAGCAAAACCAGCAAACCAGCCCACGTGAGGCTGGCAGCTGACAGAGTGCTGGGTGGACAGGCAGGTGCTGGCTCTGATGTGTGGTGGCAGGAGGTAAGCAGACGCTGCTTCTGCTTCCTGAGGCTCCTCACACGATGCCGCTGGCAACAGGCTGGAGCTGGGGAGGGGCTGGTGGGGGCGGTGAGCTGAGCGCCAGGTGTTTAGCCTCTCATATGGCCTCACAAGGACTTTCTTTCATCTCAGATCTCTCCCTCTTGATCGCAGCACTGCATCAGTTATTTGCAGCCCAGCTTGCTAATTCTGTTTCTCCTAACAGTGGGTATACCTTTCACTCAGTTGAATGCATGGAATCTGTGCCCGAATCCTGCCCCAACCCCCTCAGCCTTGGAGAGCAGGTATTAGCTCGAGGAGACCAGGGAGGCAGGGAGCCCCTTGTCTCCCAACCCTGGCAAGTCCTGCTTGCTCCTCACCCAGGGCAGCGGTGCAGCTGGGTCCTGTGGATTTACAGTTCTCCTCCCAGAGCTGAGAGCTCCACAGGCGGTCAGGCAGCAGGCTGCCTCCTGGGAAAGCAGATAGCAGCTTGCTGGTGTTCTTCTGTCTCAGCCAGAGCCCCAGAGGCTCCAGCACCCTAGGAATGGGAGGGCGTCTTCTCAGACCCCCGCCCATCACCCAGTGCTCCTGTGATTCTCACGACCGCAACCCTGGTTTCAGAGCAGAGGACTCACGTGGCCGCGCTGAACAGTGGTCCTCATAGCCTGTGCGCCTCAGTGCTGCGGTCTCATGAAGACGCGGTTACTTCTGCATCTGACTGCGTTAGCTTCCTAGGGCTGCCTCCAAAGGCCGAGACAGACTTGCTGGCTTTCCACAGTGGGAACTTATTCTCTCACAGTTCTGGAGGCTGGAAGTCCAGAATCAAGGTGTCAGCAGGGCCGTGGCCCCTCTGAAGGCTTTAAGGGAGAGTCCTTCTTCCCTTCCTCAGCTCTGGTGGCTCCAAGCATCCCCGGCTTATGGCAGCATCACTCCCAATCTCTGCCCACATCTTCACGTGGCCTCCTTCCCTGGGTCTGAGTCCAGATCACCCTCTCTCTTAAAAGGTACCAGTCATTTCTAAATCCAGGATGATTTTGTCTCAAGATCTTTTAATTAGATCTGCAAAACCCTGTGTCTGAGCTCACATTCTGGGTTTCTGGGTAGATGTGAAATTTTGGAGACACTGTTCAGCCCAGTGGCTGATGGGGAGGAGGTCATTAGCCTGGCATAGGTTTCACTGAACACACACTCTTTCCTGGAGGTATATTCATGTCCTGACCTCTGACCTCAGAGATTCTTCCTTAGTCTCCTCCCTGATAATCTGAGGCAGGAGACTCACCAAAGTTATCCCCCTCCACTCCAGGCAGTCTCTAGTACCTTGCTGAACTTGCTCTACTTTTTTTTAACACCTTTTGCTTCCCGGGAAGATCTGGTTTATATACTTGTTTACTTGAAACTGGGAGGGAGGTAAGCTCTGTTAGTCGTATGCCGACTGCTGCCCACATGGGGCCAGGCGTCCAGAATGCCGCACGCCTGAGCTGTCTGCTCCTGCCTGATGGGTGAGCGCAGCTCACCAGGTGCCCAGATGTTTAGCATTCTGATTATCTTGTGTCAATTTGCAGCTTCACAAAAGTGAATTTTTATGTGAGGGGACACACAGCCTTGGCAAGTTCTGCCCAGTACAGAACCGAGCATGTAACTCTGGGGGAGTCACATCTCAGTTCTGGCTTTTACTAGGCAAGTTGTCTCGGTGGTAGACAACCCACCTGCCAGTGCCGGAGGCATAAGAGACATTGGTTCGATCCCTGGGTCGGGAAGAACCCCCTGGAAGAGGAAATGGCTACCCACTGCAGTGTTCTTGCTTGAGGAATCCCATGAACAGAGGAGCCTGGCGGGCTACGGCCCATCAGCTCACAAGGAGTTGAACACGGCTTGGGGACGAGCAGGCGAGTTATCTCCGCACCTGGTCTGCGAGGTTGAGCCGAGACAGAGAAGACAGTCCACGGAGCCCCTGTGAAGCACCTGCTCAGGCCCCAGGATGCAGCCCACGCTCACTCCTCTGGTTTTTCCCCACACTTTGACTGATTTAGGTTAGCGACTGAAATCTCAGCTGAAACATTGTCATATTCTAGTCCTATATCTACTCTCTTTCCTTAGAGCAGCATCTCCTGGTTTTGTTCCTTTCTTATTCATGAGGTTTTCCCCTTCTTTCTTTGGCAACCCCACATTCCAATCTGCCTGGCCACAGAGACTGTATAGGAAGCTCATTTGACCCCAAAGTCAGCCTTCTACGGCCTGAGGAAGAGCCAACACCTGACCATGGCGGGTCCTGCCCACCGCAGGACAACTCAGCTCTGCCCCGACCCTGCTCAGCCCTGAGTTTCCAAAGTTCCTGAGTTGAGTTCCCGGGGCCTGAAAGTTTCCCAGGATAGTGCTCTATATAATATTATTCAGAATTTCACCTTGTTATTTAAGTCCACGGCTCCTCCTGTTGTGCTCTGTTTAAGATCATTTTCCTCTGAAGTCATTCACCCTGCAGCTGATGTTAACTTTTGCCTATGATGGCGCTGCTCTCTACTTCAGCAGAGAAACCTCACCATTGTACTTGAACTGCTCTATCAATGCACCATCTGTCCTGCCAGGATAGGAAAGTAATGGTCTCCTCAGTTGTAAGGAGAGAAATTTGCTGTTGGGTTGGTTACTATTTACCTTAAGTGTTAAACAGTTTTCTTTGTAAAACTTAGAAGTGAAACTACCCAGGAACACTTAGTGGCTGACCAGAAACTAAACTTGCTGGCATTTTCAAAGTGGGATTTATTGACTTCTAAATGTCCTCACTGATTCACAAAGGCACAGTCTCTCTTGAGAAGTTTTCCAAACATTGCTGGTGAGGCAGGCACTACTACACAGGTTTATTGTCCTCCCTAAACTGTTCGGAAGACACGTAAAAGTATATCACCCAGGCACAAGGATAAAGAAAAGAAGCACAGGTAGCCTGCAGGGAATTCTTGCTGGGCTTGGGAGGCCAGAGGCGCCCTTCCATACAGGGGTAGGGTGGATTCTAGACTCAGGTCTCAGCAGGCTGTGGTCCCATCACCCGCTGCATGATCCCCCCATCCTAAGCTCTCACTCACTGGGAGTAACTTAGGTGCTTCCGAAAGTGTGTCCTTTCTTTCTGGCTACTTAAACTAGCTAGTCAATCCCAAAATAATTAAATGGGATGATAATGTCATAAAATCTTAGAATCCAAAAGATGCTGCTGGACTTCAATTTAGAGAACACTGCTTCTGTGCCAGGCTGTTCCTTGGAGCACCACAGAACGTATACTGCGAATCCTATGTAAATCAGCTCCCCGGCCTCTGATTAATTTACCATTTTATCCAGCCTTTGGGACAGCAGAGCTTTCTTTCACCTAACCTGGATTAAGATCTCACAGAAGTTAGTTTTCAGAGAGATAAGTTTCAGATCTTGACCAGGCCCCAGTGAGATTTGAAGGCAGCTGTGGGGGAAGGAGCATCTGGGGGAGAGGCTGTCAGAAAGAAACTGACCACAACTTTGTAAGCACCAGACTACGCCTAGTGCATTCTATAAGATGAGACTTGATAAGGATGAACTTCAAAAGGCATTCCATTCAAAGAATCCATTTCTTAAGCACACAGGACACTTAGTTTGGTCTCAGTTCATTTGAAAATGCCCCAGGTGTTTTCATTGTTCACACATTGATAGGAGTTCTCAAGTCGTGTGAACAGCTAACAGAAGACCCATCCAGAGTAGGGGAGGAAGGTGGTTCTGCCTCTAACGGGAGAGAATGAAAATCGTGCTGGCAAAGGAGCTGTCATCCGTCACCCTCACTCGTGTGGGAGACGCTGACCATCCCGTGCAGCTCACAGGCACAGCCTCCTGTTTTGGCCCACAGAGCTCTGGCCTTTGCACCTAGGTCTGCCCTCCTTCCCGGCACCTCCCAGGTTTCCTGTTCTCCAGATCAGGACTCCTAAAGGTGAGGTTCCAGGCAGCCCCAGCCCCGCTGACTAACCATGCAGCTTAAGGGTGGTGATTCAGCCTCCAGCCTCCATCCACGAGGCCAGAGAAGACTCCTCCTAAGAGCTGATTCACCTGCAAAGCACACAGCTGCGTAACACCCCTGGGCACCGGGACCACAGACAGGGCAGAGACACACAGCAGATCCAGTCACCAGATATTTTCAGTTATTTGGATTTTTTTTTTCATTCTTACATTGCTCCATAAAAGATTACAGTTGAGCTTAACCTAAATGATCACTTTACATTAAGTTCTTTTGAAGCCAAAAGTTGCTGTATGATTAAAGCATATTCATCAACTCTTAGACATTTCATTTAGTTACTTTTTGAGCATTTATCTGTCAGGGTCCAGTGTCATGTGAAATATATATATAATTAAGACAAAATTTCTTATCTCCCCAAACTTATGAACAGGTAAGGAAAACAGATCCCTACAGAGCTAACAGTACAGGAGGAAATGAGGGGGTCAGATCAGG